TTATAAGCAGCCAACGGTCCACAGCTTCTCGTGATGGCCCATCCTACCCCCGAACCAGTCCAAGCCCCCATGTGCCTGCCTCTGCCAGCTATTCAACAGGAATATATCAAGCACCAGAGTCATTAAAGAACCTCAAACCAAACCCGAAATGGGATGTCTACTCATTTGGCGTAATTTTGCTTGAACTTCTCAGTGGGAGAGTGTTCTCAACCAGGGAATTGGGACAGTTGGAGATGCCAGCCGGTTCAATCGGGGAAGAAAAGATCCGGGCTGTCCGCTTGGCTGATGTGGCGATAAGGAGTGACGTGGAAGGCAGGGAAGAAGCCATGCTGGCGTGTTTTAGATTAGGGTTTAGTTGTGCATCATTTGTGCCACAAAAGAGACCGTCCATGAAAGAAGCAGTTCAAATCCTAGAAAAAATCCCTGAAGCTGCTTCTTCTTCCTCCTCTTCATGTTAATGAAATGATGCATTTGGGTCCTACAAAAAGTGCTCCAGCGAGCTCTAAAGTAATTTTCTTTTGCTTTTTGTCAATCCTTTGTTGACTTGAATGCTTTGCATAATTACGAGCCGGATAGAATATTGTTGATAGCCTATGCGAGAAAAAAGCGTCACCTGATATATAAGAATGCTTTATTAATTTTATAGTCCAGATTTTAAATGGGTTTTGTTTTGTTTGGTGGATCATTCAAGAAGGATTGGTTGGTTTTTCTCATGATTTTTCCAATGGCAGTTGAAGAGTGAAGACTATCATTGAAAACCTTGCTTGATGTGGACTACACATCCCAACAAGAAACATATAAATCTGGTAGAAACTTTGATACTGATCAAAACTGAAATTTTTTACCCTTAGGTTTGATTATTATTATTATGTTAATTAAAACGCTATTTTGCACATAATAATTCAAACCATCTGGAGATTTGATTGAATTTAGCAAAACCCTTACAAAATATGGTTATGGATTTTTATCATTCACAAAAATGAAAATAGATAAAGCTTTCAGCCTAGTGTTAGTATTAGAATTGAGAGGTGTTAAGGAGACGGTGCTTAATTTGAAATTAATTAACATTCACAAGCCTTACGCTGGTTATCCTCATATTTGATAGAATCCAAAACCAGCAACATGTGGAATCAACCAAATGACATATTAAATTAATAAAATATAATAATATTTTTTTCTTGGATTTTATTAAAAGAATAAATAATCATTTTCGTTTTATTTTTCAGAAAACTCTCTCCCTGCATAACTATATCCACTATTGTTTTCAGTTTACGTGATTGCGGCCACAATCTGGAATGCCCAAAAACATCATTGTTAAAATGGATTGATTTGGACTCTGAAGTCTGAACCATCCCAAACCCACAATTCTAAAAGGCCCAAACTCCAGGACATTCCATTGAAACTTAAATTAAAAAAAAAAAGAAAAGGGTGAAAAGCTTCCCAGACAGGCCCCACTTAGAAACTTCTTTGAAGTTACGCGAGCAGAAAACTCTCCAGCACATTTTACGAGGGGACAGATGTTAATTGTTGTCTACGAATTGGTATTGACAGGGAAAATGGTGAGCGGAGAAAGTGGGATAAGTTTGGTGAAATGGGTATCAAAGCGTGGGAAAAGAAGAGTGGGCCTGGGAGCGTGGGAGTTGTTTGATTTTGGAGATGTTAGGGGATGAGGAGTTGGTGGGTCTAATGCAAGTGGCATTGCTTTTCGTGGCTACATTGCCAAAAGATCGTCCAAACATGAGCATGGTGCTTGGTGCATAGGATGATTGAGGATATTAGGACTAAAGCTGCAAGAAATGGTGGGACGGTATGTATTTTGAATGACTTTTCCTCTGATTCTTCTCCAACTCTGTCAGAAAGAACTCTTGGCTTCAAATAGGTAAAAGCAGCATAGCATTAATGAGTTTCATGGGATGGACGAGGAACGAGACAGTAATGATTAGTTAGGATATAAACAAACAGAATTTTCGAGAAATCAATAGTAAATATATTCGATTTTTATTCATTCATGTTTATTTATTAAATTTAATAAATAATTGTAAAATTTATTTTATATTTATAATTGAATTAATATAAATAATTATTATTTATTTATTAAAATTTACTGAATAAATTTATTTTATGATTAATTAAATTTATTATTTATTATTAAGTTAAATTAATATTTTATTATTTTAATTTTTTTTGAAGATTTTTATATTTTATTTGGGTTTGGTTTTATATTCATTTTAAAATTTATTTATTTAAATTTATTTAATTATAATTTTTATTTTTATTTATAATTATTTATTGTAATTGTTCTCAAAACATATTCGTTTAATATTTCGAATAAATTTATTTAATTTAATTAAAAAATATGAACAACCATGAATAATTATTATTTAAAAAAAAATATAAACGAATAAAATAAAGTCTATACGAATACAAATTCAAATACGATCAATTTAAAATAATATAATATGTATGGTTTATTCATTTATATTTAATTTATTTATAATCTTATGATTCACAAACTCTTTTCTTTTTTTTTTTTGTGTGATGATATTTGCTTGTGTTATTCTGCTTTGTGAGATTGCAAGCATTTGATATGAATACCATTAAAGAAAACAATTAGAAAAAACAAAGCGTGTTCTATTCATTGCAGAGGCAAAACGGAAAGAAAGAAAGAAAGTCCCCGTCAAATATCCTGTTGTAGGTCCTAATAATGAACCTTATTTTACTTTTCTCAACTTTTTTAACTAAATTTTTATAAACAAAATCCAAAATAATAAATTTAAAAATGAAAAATATTTAATATTTTGCAATAATTGTATAATAATAAAATTAATTGTAGAAAATATTTTTTTGTCTACCATATTTAAAAGTCAAAAAAGAAATTGGTGGGGTCCAAAAGTCCACTCCGGAGTGGAGGAGGCTTCGTAGCTGATGCAATTTTGATGAGGACCAGCGAAGGCAAAGATTCTTCCACGTGTCTCATGGAATGTTGACTGGAAAGGGCTTTTGTTGTCCGCTATTGCCTAATGTGGGATCCACTATGGAACCAACTCGACTGACGGAGATTCTCTTTGTCATTTTGGATTTATTTGAAATTATATATTTAACTTTTTATTTTTAATTTTATTTTTTATTTTGATAAATAAAATTAAAACATATTTTTAAAATTTTAATATATCTTAAAAAACTTGTATTAATTTATTAATCACACGTAAAAAATTTAAAAATTTTATTAACGATAAATAAATCAAAATTTCTTTTTATAATATAAGCACATTTATTTATGACATTTTGTATTTAACATTCAATAGCTAAATTGATATTATATGTTTATGTAATTGACACACTTTTTCCGGTGCGTTAGAAAAGAATTTTAATTCCATGGATCATTTAAAAAAAATCTACACGGTTTCACAATTTTACGCAAAAATAAATAATGTCTTTGAATATGAAAAAGAAAAAAAAAAAGAAACGGATGAAATGCATCCCAGTTCCCAGAGGCTTCGTTGACGTTACGCAAACAGATCTCCAGTACATGAGGTTGAGCCATGAAATATGTGAGGATCTTGGCTTGCTACTATTACTACTACTGCTATTAATGTTGCTACTGCCACTGCTGCTATGGCTACTGTTTCTGTTACTACTGCTGCTACTGCTACTATCGCTGTTACTGCTATTGCGGCTGGTGCTGCTACTGCTACTAACTACTACTGCTAACTACTACTTTTACTACTACTATTATATTATTATCATTATATAATTATTCGTCTACTTCTCTAAGATAATAATGTTCTAAATTCCTTACATTGAAGTATTCTTGCACACAAATAATACTAATTTTTTTTTATTTTTTGTTATATAAGCAAAGTCTTAGTATAAGTAAAAAAAAAATAAAAAATTTAATTCGAAACTAAATTTTTAATATTTCTTTAAACGTTTTTAATCATTAAATTAAAGACTTGAAGATAAAATAATACTAATTAAAGTATGATTACTACTATTACTAGTACAACAAATATATATTTTTTTTAGTATAGGAGGTAGGAGGAGAAAGGTTTCGAAGTCAAGATCTTAATGTTTTAATTTTTTTTTAGTATAGGAGGTGAAATGAAAAAATGCCCGAACTAAGATTTTAATGTCTCAATTTAACACTCTTTGGCCATAAAATCAAGAGACAGAGGATATTATAATAAAATTATTAAATTTAAGATCTCACTAAAAAATTATTTTGTTATGGTCGAGTCACAATATTTTTTTATTTTTGATGAAATATAAATTATTTAAAATTTTAACTTAATAATAAATATATATATGTTTTTTATTTAAAATTTAAAATTCTCACATTCTCAAGTAAAATAAATAATTAATTAGTAAAATATTTTATAATTTTAATTATTTAAAATCATAATATTTTAATATAAGATAAAAATATGACTTAAATATGATGAATAAATTACATATGCGATTTTCATTTATTTTGATTTTTTTAATAATTACTTGAATTTAATTCTCAAGCTAGGAAAACATATATGCATATATTATTTTTAGAATATTCTCCTATATTTTGACTCATAAAATCATTTTTTACCTTACGAGAAATTTTGAAAAAGAAATGTCACTAAAAAATTGAATTCCAATTATTGAAAAATTTTAGAATAATATATTATTATTATTATTATTATTATTATATGTAAACTAATAAAGTTATTAATCCTAAATTTAACACTAAAAATATACACATATAAAATAGTTTATATATATGTAATAAATGATAAAAAGTATACTATATAATCTTCCTAAATTTATTCTTATACTTATCCTGAACACCTTATTAGTTTAACATTTGGACAGAACAAAAAAATTTAGGTTTAATTGGTCTAAGATCACTTAACCTTTACTTTATCATTTTTTTTCTTTTTTAAATTCAATAAAATGAATTTAATAACATCCACCAGTTGCAATGGAATCCAAACTAAAATGGAATCCAAACTCTTGTCTGCCTTGAAGTTACGCAAACCGCAAACTCCCCATTACAACACTTTTTTCCTTCAAATCGCAACCAAACCAAAGTTTTCTTATGTTTAAAAGAAAAAAAAAATCCGAATTCCATGAACCACGGAGATGAGGGAGATGTGGAGATGTTCAGTCATGAAGAGCGTGAGGACCCTGGCTTGCGTCCGCTTCCAGATACTCAGGTTTTGCGTCTACTTCTCTAAGATAGTAATGTTATAAATTCCTTACATAGACGTATTCTTGCACAAATAATACTAGTTGAAGTATGCTACTACTGCTACTACTATAATAAGGATTATTAAATTTAGGATCTCACTAGAAAAATTTTCTACTACGTTCAAGTCACTTTTTTTTTTTTTTTGATGAAATATAAATTATTTAAAATTGTAACTTAATAATAAGTATATATGTTTTTTATATAAAAATTTAAATTCACACGTTCTCACATAAACTAATAATTAATTAGTAAAATATTTTATAATTTTTATTTATTTAAAATCCTAATATTTTAATATAAAATAAAAATTTGACTTAAATATGATTAATACATTACATATGTGATTTTCATGTGATTTTCATTTATTTTGAATTTTTAATAATTACTTGAATTTAATTCTCAAACTAGAAAATATATATATATATATATATGCATATATTATTTTCAAAATATTCTCCCCATATTTTGACTCATTAAATCAGTTTTTATCTTAAGAGAAATTTTGAAAAAGAAATGTTACTAAAATAATCCAATTCTAATTATTGAAAATTTTAAATTATTATTATTATTATTATTATTATTATTATTATTATTATTATTATTATTATCATGTAAAGGGTTATGAAGAATGGTGCGGTGGTGTAAAAATTTCTAAGTTACGATGGGCAAAGAGTTTTTGCTTGTGAAATTTTTGTTTGTATTCCCTTGGTTTTTTTTACGTCTATTAATTATTATATCCTCCTATCATAATATATAAATTCATAAATTTATCATTAGATATAGATTAAAGAAATCGTTACTATTTTTTTTGTTTAAATGTAATTGGTTATTCTATAAAATCTGTTCCATTTAAAGAAAAATCTCAAGATTGACTTTGATATTTTTAAATAATAAATTTTGTTCCATGAAACTAGATTTTAGATTTAAAAGTATGGTTACGTATGAAAAATATTATAGCACATTTACAATGTCCATCTAAATAATGGTATCAATTTGATTTCAAATTATCCAAAGCTTAAAACATTCTAATAAATTTACCAAATCATTTAATATTAAAAATTAATCTTAAAATTACTTTAATAGTTTGGTAACAATTTAAAATAATTCTCTTATCTTAATAGTATTTATGGAGACTAGTGTTCGTCATTGATCTTATTAATATATTTTATCTAAGAAAATATTAATAAAGTCCTCCAATAGTTTAGTAGGATTTATTTTGATGCAAATCTCTCAATAATTTGATGAGATTTTATTGTAAGATATTTATAAAATTTTATTTTTGAGAAGGTTCATTAAATCTCCTAATAGTTTGGCAAGATTTAATTTAAAATGCAATTCTTCAATAGTTTGGTAGGAAAAATACGAAATATTTTATTGATTACCTGATTTATGAAATTCTCCAATAGTTTGGTTGAATTTATAGAAATTTAAATTTATGAAAAATTCTCTAACAGTTTGGTAGGATTCATGAATTCATTTAAAAAAAAAAGTTTATTTTTGTTCTTGTTCAAAAATAAAATAAAATAATAATAAAAGAAAGTTTACAAAGGTCTTTAAAGAATAATAAATTGCTTAATTTAAAATTAATAAAATAATAATGATATTAAAAATAAATAAATAAAATAGAATAGAAAAAGCCTAAAAAATTTAAGAATTGTGAAAATAAAAACGAAAAATGAAAAAAAAAAAAAAACTTACGATTGGATTGGGTTGCTTCACAGACAACTCTCGGATCCTAAACAAGTTTACATGGATATTGGGTTACACGAAATGGCACTATATTGAGGCATTATAAAAGAATAAAAACTTGGTTTCTTCTCAGACTACCTTAACATTTTCTCTTTCTACCTAATTTTTGCTCTAGCTTTTCTCTAAAACAACTCAGATTCAATTGCCAAAAATTGGGGTAACCCACCGACTTTTAGAAACTATTGTCGAAATTTGGCCTAAAAATTCAAGCTTCACCAAAAAATTTAACCGAAAAATTCAAACCTCCAAACCCTAAACCTAGATTTTTCTAGTTTTCTTAGAAAATTCAACTCCAAACTCATAAATTCAAACCTAACCTAAAACTTTGAACTTAAAACTAAAAAATTCAAACTACTCTAAATTGCCAGAAACCTTAATCCAAGAACTTCAAACCTAATACCCAAAGATTTAAACTACTCTTAATCGCCAGAAACCCTTAATCCAAAAAACTTCAAACCCAAATAGGTTTTCTCAAGAAAAACTCCACCTTCTCTTTTGTGATTTTACACTCAATTTAGGCCTAAATTTCACAAATTTGTATAATTTGATTCGATTTTGAATTGAAATCCTTTTGATTCAGTTGTATGCAAATTTGATTCTCTTTCCTTTTTATTAGCCCCAATTTCCTTGTCAAAATGTAAATGAAAGAAGAAAATAAAAATAACCAAAATAATAATAATAATAATAATAATAATAATAAAATAACAATTTAGTTCGGACACAAATGAGTGTTTACACCTACTTGCCGAGAGCCATTAGATTTTATGTTTTTTTTTTTAAATCTTTAAAATATCAAAAAGCATAAAAAAAACTATGCTTTTAATCTTAATCTGTATACCAAATTAAAATGTGACAAATGGCATGAAATTGGTAGCCAAACAATATTTTAAACAATAAAAATTGAAAAGTTATTTTTATATTATACTTATAGATGTATTTATAAAATTAAGTTTGTCATTGAGCTCATATTTAGTATTAATAACTTATATGTTTTTTTGTTTAGATTTGATTTGGTCTAAAATTTTGAGTTTCAAAATTTTTTTAAGTTTTACCCAAATTAAAAAAATAAATTTCATGTCACTTATTAAACTTAATTTATATAATAAAAAATTAAAAAATAATTAAATTAAGTTTAATGAGATTATATTTAATTCACATATATATAAAAATAAAAATTAAGATTAATAAAATATATTTTTTTAATTTTTAATTTTTATATATATGTGAATTAATTTATATATAATTTATATATATATAAATTATATATATATATATGTGAATTCAGGCTAGGTTTGAGTTTTAAATTTTTAATTCAAAGGTTGACCTAAAATTTAAACAAATTTAAAGGTTGTGACCAAGCCTATTCAACGGATTTAATTTTTTGTCCAAATTTTTTAAAAAATTACGTGGGCCTTCGAATTTACTTGAATAATCCGATCTTTAAATAGGTTTAGTATCGCCTAACCATTTCCCTTAAGAATCATTTAAATGGAAGATAAAATCGGTTTCAATTAAATTGAAATAACATTAGTAGTGAAACTAGTTTTTGTAGTGATAAAATTTGAATACTAATATAATAGTATTGGTGAGATTATACATTGGTAAGATACTCAATAAAAAAAATCAATATTAATATTTAAAAATGAGATAATAGAATGACTAAACACAATCGACTGCCATAATTAAAAAATATCTTTTACGATGAATAATTATTTCAAACAAATTCAAAGATTACCTATTATTTGCATAAAAAAAAAAAACCAAGTTTTTGGTTTTCCCTTTAACTTTAACATTTATCATGGAAACAAAAGAAAAACCCATATCAGAGAAAAACGAGATATTCATCATAAATTATAAAAATAAAATAAAAATTGCTTACAGAGAGGGGAACCAGTGGCAAAAGTGGAGCGGCTTCCTGATACAATCGAAGCGGGTAAACGAGAAATTTTATGGGTTCTTGATGAACTGATAGGACAGGAATTTGCAACACAATTTGGAGTTGTGAAAATTGTTAATAAAGACTTAATAAGCAATATCAAGAGATAAGATTGAGAGACTACCGTGAATTGAAAGAGAAAGAGAAAGGGAAGCAGAGACTTGAGCTAAGGCCATATTTGTAGAGTTTTGATTGTATTAAGGGGATGGAGTGGCAACAGACCGCCTCTAATTTAATCTAATCTTTCGAGACAAACTGGCAGTTGGAAGAGGACGAGACATATTTGAGACATGAAAGTTGAACACGTATCATGTCTAGACATTCTAATAATTCCTTTCTTTTTGTGTTTCCTAATTTACATGATTTTACCATTAACACTAGAATTTTAAGTTTCTTTTCAAAAATCTTTGCTAAATTTCTACGAGGTGATAATAGTTAGATAAGTCAAAAACATCAAAAAAATTTACCAATGAAAATTGTTATATTTAATATGATAATAAAGTTAAACTATAAAGTTCCTATATCTTTTTCTAAAGGTTTTGATTGGATAATTACCCACAATTTATTGAATTTTCATATATGCATGATGTATTTGTTTAAAGATTAAAACAACAACAAGAAGAAAAGGTTTTTTTTTTTTTGTTAGTATTTTTTTTATTTTGAAGTTAATAAAACAAGATAGCTACTTTTAGCATCAGATCCAAGAGTCATGGTTAGTGGGGGGTAAATATTTTAAATTAATTTAATTTTTTTTTACTTAAATATAAATTGATAAAAAAAATTACAAATAAAATCAAGATATATATTTTTTATATACAAAAAAAATTTTTGACATAAAAATAATTCTTCTTAATTAAAATTAATTATATGATTCTTAACAAATACAATGGAAACATTATTTAGATAAATTAATTTTAAATATAGAAACATATATATTAATTTAATAAAATTTTATTTATAAAATTCTTAAAGATAGATATAATATATGAAAGAATAATATAAAAATTAACACATTTAATTTTATTATTCACTTTTAATATGTCTAGTTTTATCATTTACTTCAAATAAATAAACATATTTTATTTCTTATTCATTATAATTTAAAGAATAAAAATGTCTCTTTTCTTATATAGAATGAAAAAAAAAATTAAAATATAGATTTAAATGAATTTTTAAATTTTATTACTTAACATTTTATATATTACTTTTTTTTATGCTAAATAGGTGGACAAAACCATTTACATAGTACAAGCGTTAAGTTTTGCTACTCTTATAAAATCATTTCGCATCAATCTAAATAAATTATTACGAGGAATTTGAAATTTCATAATTTCATATTCTCTAAAAGTAATTTTGGCTGACCAGCTCAAACAATTAAGTTCAAGTAGCCTCGTTGTTTAAAAATGCTAAATCCTAAAAGCTAGGAACATTTTTCAAATGACTATTGTTGGACTCTCATCCTCCATTGGCGGGAATGAGGCTGGGTAATGATCCTCTTTATGAGGGGAGATTACTCAAAAAGCAGTTTAGAAAGCATCCTCCAAATTGCTAAGAAAACCAGTCATCATAGAAAACATCAGTGTCTGTTCCTTCTTCTTTTTGTGGGTGCTGCCACATACTGAAATAACCTTTGCATATCAGCAGGAGGTGACCTCAACATCTGGACCTGGTGATCCTTCAAATTCGGTTGATGAAACTAGCTCGCCAGGTTCTGAAGTTACTTGCCAGCCAAAGACTGATTTGTTGAGAACTATTGCGGTTTTCACAGCAGCTTTAACGGGGACTTTGGCTATTAGCCTATCATGGGTTACCCACAACCAGGTTTATCTTTAATTTCTTGTGCAATCCTTTCTTTGTAGGTTTTAATCGTTTTCTCATCTTTGACCAATGTTTTGCATAGTATTGTATCATGCACAGAAACCTTTCTTAATTCTATCTAATTTCATAATGCAGGATATTGCTATGGCATTGCTTTTTGCAGTAGGATATTTGGGCATCATCTTTGAACAGTTTCTAGCATTCAGTAAAAGTGGAGTAGGATTGTTGATGGCTGTGAGTTTATGGGTAGTAAGAATCATTGGGGTAAGAATGATTCTCAGTTGTCTACTATTGGACTGTGTTTTCCTGCTGTCCCTCTTCTTGTAGTTTGCATCATTGCTAGCATTATCATAAATTAGGATGAAAACACAAAATTCTCGTGTATTGGATACTTCATTCAGTATTATGTCAGGTTTCAACCTGTTTCTCTTATGTTCTTTGGTGGTTGCCTCATGTCCCTGTATTTGTTCAAGAGTTAATGAAATACAGGATGCTTGGGCTCCAAACTTATTTCCTGATCTACTAGTTTTAGTGGTGTTTGTTTTTGGTGAATGATGGCTTGTCTTTTATGAAGTGATCATTGCAGTCTAATATCCTTTATTTTTTTATTTATGTTGGAGCCCACTTCCCATTGAAGGAAGGAGCATCTCCAATTTAAACCAATTCCAAGGGACTAACCTAGCAATGAATTAAGATCACAAAACTAATTATCAACCCCCATGGTCAATTGGGAGAGCCAAAGTTTCTGTTTGTCTGTCTTGTTACCATCACTAGGAATTCTGCAAATGGTGACCATGACTATCTCCCTTTATTTATGTAATTTTGTGATAGTCAACCTATGCTGATGCATCTGACATCTGTATGGAAAACTTTTTTTTATCATTTTCTTACTTATTTCCACCTTTGTCTGTCATTACTTGTGTAATAATACATTTGAATTTCATTTGTAGGCTCCTTCAACTGATATAGCTGTTTCAGAGCTGAAACATGCATCTGCAGAAGTCTCTGAAATCGTGTTTTTCTTGCTTGGTGCAATGACCATCGTAAAGATAGTTGATGCCCATCAAGGATTTAAGCTGGTTACTGACTATATAACCACTCGAAAGCGATGGATTCTGCTTTGGGTGGTGAGTTAATTTCTGCTGGCTATAGTCATATTGACAATCCTATCATTCATAGTTTTCATATATGAATCTTGTTGATCGTTCAATTGCACAGTGAAGCACACCTTGTGGCCCAATATTTACCCACGGTCTGTCAAAATTTGTCTGGTAGGTACAAACCAATGATGTAGATGATTCCAACTGATGAGATAGATTCAGAAGAATCTTAAATGTGCTTACTTATGTGTCATGGCTGAAGTTATCATCATGCCAAAGTACAATTTATTTGCATATGATCCTATCATATTTAGTCTTTTACCTAGAATGAGCCTAATGAAGAAAAACTGAAAGTGTATAATCTTAGATGAAACTTTGTGTTAGCTGTCTCTCTTTCTAGCGTTTTTTTTTTTTTGTTTTGAACGAATAGATCAACTTTATTTCTATTTCTTGTCTAAGTTTGTGATATCTTTATCAGTTGTGTATTCTTGATGTTAGGTTTAATCAAATAATGGTGTTTCACTTGTAATTTGAAAATGCAGGTTGGCTTCGTGACCTTTTTCCTTAGTTCCATCCTTGACAATTTGACATGTACAATAGTCATGGTTTCTTTGTTGACGAGACTAGTACCTCCATCAGAATACCGCAAGTATGTTATGGCATAGAGTCTACTCTTCTGTTTGGGTTCTGAGCATTGCATGAATTAATATCTTATTTTCGTTAATGTTCCTGGGTTCACATGGTATATTACCATATTGCAATTGTGTTTTTATCTGTCACTGCATAGGTGGTTATCATATTTTTTTTGGTATTTGAGGCTGCCAAGGTGTGATCCTGGTCACCGGAACTAAGAGTCCAGTACTCTACCAATAGATCACATGACTTTCATATTATTTTAAGTTAAACATACCATACCTGTTTTTTTGAGAATGACTAGTGTCATGTTTATTCAAATTTCTTAAAACTGTTCATATGAATATGAATTGCAATAGGCTTCTAGGAGCTGCTATTGTAATAGCAGCAAATGCTGGTGGTGCTTGGACTCCTATTGGTGATGTTACCACTACCATGCTATGGATTCATGGTCAAATATCCACATTGCAGACTATGAAGGTGCTTTCATGATTCTCACAAAGCACATTTAAATTAAATTTACTTTCATTTATGCTTTTAAATTTATCCTAATATCTATTCATTATGGATTTAAGTGTCCATGTTGATATGTTTCCTGATTTAGACTTAGATTAGTAGACAAAGGTAATAATTCTGTCAAATTTGAATGAAACATTGAACTATTGGAAGCAATAGCAATGTCAAGTCACATACTCTATTTAAATGGATGCACCCTAGAAGAATTTTTTCTTTTTACTGACTTTAGGTGGAGTTAATTATGTTTGATTTCATTGCTAACAGAGTTTGTTCCTACCTTCAATTGTTTCTCTAGCGGTCCCACTGGCTCTAATGTCTTTGACTAGGTATGTTTCTTGCATGAACAAACACAAGTTGGGAAAGTTCTGTTTGAAAAGCTTACATTCAACTTCATGAATAAAATGAGTTCTCTTTTCTCATTCAGTGAAGTTAGGGGGAAGGGACAAGATTCTCCCAATGTTTGCGCATCTGACCAAATGGCTCCTGGAGGGAAACTTGTTTTCTCTGTGGGTATTGGTGCTTTGATTTTTGTTCCAGTGTTCAAGGCCTTAACTGGTTTGCCTCCTTTTATGGCCATTTTATTTGGACTTGGAGTTCTTTGGATACTGACTGATGCCATTCATTATGGTGAACGGGAAAGGCAGAAATTTAAAGTTCCACAAGCTTTATCAACGATTGATACTGAAGGAGCTCTTTTCTTCCTTGGGATTCTTTTGTCTGTGAGCAGGTAAATACAATAGGAAAGTACGCATGTGTAATTTGTTCCAGTTAGTTGCCTCGATTAATTTTTTTAACCATAGTTTAGGTTTCATTATGAGGTTTCTATAAAAAAGCATTGCTTGAGACTATGCTACTTGGTGATGAGTGCTTTTGACTCCATTATTTTTTGCATTTTTCATAAATATAAAAAGCATTTCTTATATTTATCATTACTTTATTTATATAATTAAGTTGTATATTTTAGCTTTCTATATTGATATATTTGAGTTGTACTTCCCTAGCCTAGAAGCAGCAGGTCTTCTTCGGAAGTTGGCAAATTGCCTGGATGCTCATATACCTAATGTTGAACTGATTACAAGTGCAATAGGAGTTGTGTCAGCAATTATTGACAATGTTCCACTGGTTGCAGCAACAATGGGAATGTATGATCTCACCACTTTTCCCCAGGATTCTGAGTTTTGGCAACTTGTAGCATATTGTGCTGGTACTGGTGGATCCATGCTAGTTATTGGGTCTGCCGCGGGAGTTGCATACATGGGAATGGAAGAAGTTGACTTCTTTTGGTACTTGCGAAAGGTAATTCGTGCTCTTAGTTGCATATCTTTTTAGGACAAGAAAACCAATTTTATTGAGTAAAATATTTATTTTGGTGCAGGTAAGCAGTTTTGCTTTTGCAGGTTATGCTGCTGGTTTTGCAGCCTATTTAGCAGTTAAGAAGCTTCACATCTCCTAACCCTCAACCTTAACTGAGGTTCCCTTCCTTTCTGGTTCATAATGCTACAGCTTGAACTTAGACTTGGCCATTTTTATTTTTAAATCTAGTGGAAGAGGAGATCTCCCATAATATGTACAACGTATTTAGTCTTTAGAATTGAAGAAATTTAGGAGGAAAAGGTTGATATAGTTCTTGATCTCATGTCTGCAAACATTATGGTCATTCTTGTCAGATATGTAAAGAACCATGAATTAAGCATAATATGTCAAAAATGATGGTTTGCCATGAAATTGAATTCACTGGAAAATGTCACGAAAGCAATAACCCCATATCTGCATCAAAGAGTTTTCTTTTTTCAAATTACAAATCTAAGAATTTTCTAATAGCATGCACAAAAACATAATTGATCAACCAACTTAACCTGTTGCAAAGGGAAAACAAATTGAAAGGAGGTGTAATATGAATAAGGAAACAATTAGCACGCAAAGCACATCTGCGTCCATGAAACCAGATACAAATCTGAATCAGACAAAATTTAACTCAATAATAAGTGGTCTTCTTGCTGCAACGCTCAATTATGCGTTCTTCCATCCTTGTCGTCAACCAACGACAAAGCACACTCAATAAAAATTTTCAAAATTGAGCACTACAATGTAGTAAAAATGTCCAATCCAACCCAAGAAGAAAAAGATATGGTACTAAGTCTAAATATAGATCCAAGTCCAGAGATAAAGTAAAGTGTTTCCATTATTGTAAATACCATTTTATATTTCATTCACCATTCTCATTCTGTCCCCTCTTGTTGGCTTATACCCTAAGCTAAATTTGTCTTTCTTGTCATATGCTGCTGGTGACTCTATGATTCCTTGCAATTTCTTCCTTAGTTCAGTTCAAGGTTGCCATCCCATTTTGGTAAGTTGCTTAACGACCATTTTAGTAGTCGTAAATAGGTGTGGTGAATATAGTTTAATCTTTTCGAAGATTTTGGGTTACGTTGAGATAACTGTGGTAGACTTTTTTAAGCAAATTGAAACCTAAGCAATTAATCCCGCTCCAGCAGTCTTAGTTGAAACCATCAGGTCATTGAATTTCTGTCGATAAAATGGAAAGGGACGGTTCATAGGATGTTCACTGCTATTATATGTGTGGGTTAGAAGTCATTTCAAATGTGGAAAAAGTGCATTTTCAAAGCCGTATCTACTAAATAAAGCACCAATTGAAGAGTTCTGCAAACGTCAATGGTCAACATTGAAGACTAAGGAAGAGTGGGTCTTTTTCTTGCGAAAGTTTACCGGTGATGAAATTGAATGGATGGCGTCTTGGATGCCTCGAGTGCCTTTGTTGTATCGTGAAGGAAATAAGCCGTGGATACCGTTGTTAGGATTATGGGGTATTGTAAGTTACGCTCCATTGATGGTGCTTAGGCAATTTGGTGCAAAGCAATTTGTTCCTGCCACTCATGGCTTGGCCCAAATAGAATTCATTTATGGGGAATCGAATCCACCAAGAACCTCAAAGTAGTTGATTTAAGCATGGAAGAAAACACGAAGAATGAGATTATGGCCTATCATGGATAAAGTCACTTCTGATTACCAGATTTGGAACTCAAGGCAGCCTAGAGACATAGTACTCTCTCCTGATGATAGCTTACACCAATCGGTTAATCTTTCAATAGCCAAAACGACGTCATTTCATTTAAGGACCAAAACGACACCATTTTGAGCCCTGAGGATCCTCGCGTCAACCCGTGACCCTACCTAGGGTCATACACACGACCCATAACCCGCTTCTCTCTCAGCCTCTGATCGGTCTAACTGAATCGACCCAGATCGAATCGAGCCATTCTTGAATCGTTGAACCGAACCACCCTAACCAGACAAAACCGAATCGTTCTCGAATTGCTGGACCAAACCGTCTGTTGATCGAACCATTGACTGGTACTGTTCAGGTAAAAAAAATTTTTAAATTTTTTAATTTTTTATATATTATTTTTGTTATTTTAATTATTATTCTTAATATTTATGCATGTTAAAATGTTAAAATTTACCAAAACAAATTTTTGTTGTTTTATAATAATAATTAATAAATAATAAAATATAATAAAATTTTAGATAATTTTGAATAAACCTTATAAAATAATTGGTAAAAAAATTTTAATTAAATAAAATTAATAAAAAATAAGAAAAAAAATTTTATCCAATGATGAGACTCAAAGGTACTCCGAGTAGTGATGCCTATGAAATCTTTAAGTGAAAAAATTTTTTTTAAATACTACTAGTGTATTTAAGTATTTATAAAAAAATTTCAATACAATAAAATTTTTTTTGTTAATAATAAATAAAAATTAATTAATTTATTAAAAATAATAATAATATAAATAAAAAAAAAAAATTTTATCCAATGATGGGATTCAAAGGTATTATGAGTAATGATGCTTATGAAATCTCTAGGTGATAAGATTTTTTTAAATACTACCAGTGTTTTTGAGTATTTATAAAAATTTTCTAATACAATAAAAAAAATTTTTGTTAGTATTAAATAAAAATTAATTTGTTTATTAAAAGTAATAGTAAAAAAATAAGAAAAAAGAAATTTCATCCAATGATGAGACTCTAAAAGTATTCTGAGTAGTGATGTTTTACGAAATCTCTAGGTGAAAAGATTTTTTTAAATACTGCCAGTGTATTTGAATATTTATAGAAAATCTTCAATATAATAAAATTCCTTTTTCTTCAAAATTTTAATTAAAAATAAATAAAATTTCTAAAAAAAGAATAAAATGTATGCATCAACATGATAACATTTTGTATTGCATGCATGACATAGTTTTTTACGAAAAGTAAATTTGAGCCTTCGAAGATGAGATTCTAAGGTATTCCAAAAAACGATGCCTAAGAAATCTTTAGGTGAGAGATAGTTCTTTTAATGTTACCAACGTACTGGAACATTTTAAGAGTTATTTCAATAAAAGGGTTCTAATTTATTTTTTCGAATAAAATTTGAACAATAAAAAAAATTTTCCAATAAATAAAAAAATCAAGAAAATTATTTTTTAAACATCGAAAATAAGATTTTTTTATCAAAATCAAAAGGATAACACGTAGTTAATTGGTACCGTTTTAAATAAGCGCTGTGGGGGTGCTAATCATTCCCCACACGTAACCTACTTTCAAACCCAGACTGTTACGCAAACTCTAAAATTATCCTTTTAATAAATTTTAATTAATTTTAAGATTTCATTAAAAGGATATGTTTTAATAGGTTGTCAATCGCACCTAGCCAAAAAAGATTGGTGGTGACTCTCATTTTTTATTTTATTTTCAAATTCATCAAGGCAGACACAAAATCGTTACGACAATTATGATAAGGCAGATCATATAAAACAACACTATAAAATCTTGAAGCAAGAGCAAAAAAATGAGAAAGATAAGAGTTCAGATGATGATAATGTTACAGCAGTGAATTCAGATAGTGATTCAGTTACTTTAATTTGTACATATGGTGATTGTAATCATATTGGTGATCCTGACATTGAGTGGATAGTTGACATAGGAGTGGCATATCATTGTGTTATTAAGAGAGAGTTGTTTACAACTTACAAAGTATGAGATTTTTGTTGCACTAAGATGAAAAAAAAGAATGTGTCGTAGATTATTGAGATTAGTGATATTGTTGTACAAACTAGTATGGCCTGCATCTTGACTTTGAGGGATGTCAGACACATTTTAGATATGATAATGAACTTGCTTGCTATTAATGTTCTTAATAAGAAGGGATATGAGAGTTGACAAAAGAATGGACAGTAGAAGTTTCTCAAAGGAACTATGGTAGTTGCAAGAAAAAAATTATGCTGTCAATGTCTAAGATATAGATGCAATTGAACGGCAACCAGGTAAATGCTGTTGAGGATGATACTTCAGTAATTTATTGTACAAAGGCTAGCACACATGAGTGAGAATGGGTTAGAGGTTTTGGCAAGACAGTCTTTCATTTCCTTGACCGAAGGTATGTCTCTCGATTCATGTGACTATTATTTGTTTGGTAAGTATCGTATAGTTTTTTTGTAAAAATTCTCAGAGAAAAGAAAATAGATTGTAATTAATTTATTCTGACGTATGTGATCCCATTGACATTGAGTCATTAGGTAGTAACAGGTATTTTATTCTTTTATTGATAATGCTTCATGTAAAACTTGGGTGTATATGTTAAAAAATAAAAGTCAGATATTCTAGTATTTTTAAAAATTTTATGTTATGATAAAAAAATGACAGAGTTGCCCTTAAAGTATATTCGGACTGATAATGGTGGAGAATACACACCCAAAGACTTTGAAGAGTATTATTCAAAGCATGAGATCAGGCATGAGATGACAGAACCTGAAATATCGTAACATAATAGTGTAGCTGAAAAGATGAACCGCACCATTATGGAAAAAGTCATATGCATGTTGAAGATGGCAAAATTATCAAAGCCATTTTGTGGTGAAGCAATAAAAATAACTTGTTATTTGCTTAATAGATCACCATTAGTTCCTTTGGACTTTGACATTTTTAAAAAAGTGTGGATAGAAAAAGATGTTTCATACTCTCACTTAAAAGTTTTAGGTGTAAAACATTCATACATATGCCGAAAGAGCAAAGGTCAAAACTTGATAGTAAAGCCACACAATGTGTGTTTGTAAGATATGGTGATGAGAAATTTGGCTATAAGATATGGGATCTAATAAAGAGAAAGACAGTCAAAAGTAGAGATGTGGTCTTTAATGAAAAAAAACTATAGTAAACCTTGAAAAAAATGAGAAGACTACACAAGTTATTGTTGAATGTGATATTTTAACACCGACAGAGATTCCATTAGAAAAAGCCACAAATGATGAAAATGAGCAAAAATAAAACTTAAATATATAAATGAGCCTGTCACAGTTAATGATAAACCAGATGTAATCAATTTTGAACAGGAATAGCAATTCTCTCTACCTGAAAGTGTTGAGTAAAGAGAGCTACTTTTGGCATCAAATGATGTAGAGTTTCAACCTAAAAGATCTAATAGAGAGCACAGGCCATCTACCAAGTATCTAAGTTCATATTTTATTTTAGTTACTAGTGAATAAGAGCCAAAGAGCTTTTAAAATGTGCAGACTACTCCGAATAAAGAACACTCGTTAAAAGTAATGAAAGAAGAGATGGAGTCATTACAAAAAATAGTACTTATGATCTTGTTAAACTTTCAAAAGGGAAAAGGCCATTGAAAAATAAATAGGTATTCAAGTTGAAAAAAGATGGTGACAAACTAGTGAGGTGCAAAGCTCGATTGGTGGTAAAA